CGTTTGCTTTCTATTTTGTCTGAAATATCTGAGTGTTTCCTCTGACTTGTCAACATGCAGTTTTGCTTCTTATGAGTCTTGGGGAGAAAAAAGTGCACTCTGTATGGGGATGGCATCGCATCACAGGATGTCTAATACTGATATCTTAATAATGCTACCAACGCGTTTGTGCACTTGAATGTTTGTTTAGTATTTGATTCACATTGGAATTGTTACCACTAGCAAATACCTTCCTATTACTGAATGCAATAGCGTTGAAAGTGTTTGCTTTTGTGATATACCTAATGAAAAGTGAATCTTTCTAAAAGATTTGTGGCTAAAACTTGTCTTATTTTCCCAGGATTTTGTGATAAGAGAGAACTCGAAAAATACAAAGTCTGCCATGGCTTGTAATTCACCCTCTACAAGTGACAAGAAAATGGTTGGTTTTTGTTCTAGTTTGGAAGCTAGTTTGGGACTTTCTGTCATAGTGTGGCCATTTGAAGGGAGGAAACATTCTTATGCAGCAGTGTCTTATCCTTATTTGTGTAGCTGAATGGGAATCTTAAACTCTTATGACCTCCTCCTATTAAATCCCATAAGCTTACCACAGAGCAAGTTGGTCTGTCCCAAGAGTGTATAATGGCTGGGCTGTAGTGTGGAATGATTTGGTGGAAAGCATATCGCAGACTGAGTAGTTGGGAGGAGAAGTCTGAGCGTATTATCATGCGCTTTTGTAAGTGAAGCCCTTGTATTAAGCTGAGATTCATGTGATTTGTACGCATGGGAATTCCTAAAAAGAGATGTTTTAATGTCTTAGCAGTACCCTTGGCATGGTTAGAGTGTGAAGAGTAGGTTTTTCCCAATCTGTTGTCTACTGTTTTGTATGTTTGTTTATTTTTTTATAGTTAGAACAGCTTATGTAAGAAACATCTCCACAGCTTGGGATTAACTTTTAAAGAAACTACTGCTTCTTTAACAAATGTTAAGAAACCTATGCCTTGGAATTGCTGAGGCTTTGACAACTCCCTGAAGGGTATGAAATTGTCTACGTTACTTGCAGTTGTAATATCATTAGCATAATAAACAGAGGTGTCAGTAGCAAAGCTCAAAATGTCGGCTTAAGATAACACTGACCTAAAATAAAGCTTAACCAATGCTCTTATTTCTTGTTCACGTGTCTGTTAAACAGAAATCCAGAAAAGAGTACTTCCTAAGAAAGCGAGTGTGTACTTCCGGTAGAAGATTGACTAGCAGGAGTGATGGAACTCTACAAAAAGTTGGAGATTTTCTTCAAAGTACTCCTTCTATTATTCACTCTAAAGGTTGGTGTAGAATAAGTAAGATTTATTCCACCTTCTGTAGGCACTGCAGAATGGCTTGTTTCTGCTGTAGGCTATGAATGTATATATTCTTAGGGAACTTGTCTGCCATGTTACGTTGCTCTTCAACTTATGAAATAAATGCATTTATTCATCTCTTCCGAGATTCATTACTACTTGACTGAAAATCTGCAAGTAGGCAGAGGAAGTTGACTCCACCTTGTGCTTCTGTCAGCACAAAAGTTAGGCCTGTTGTTTAGCTCCTGCCCAAGTTCCTCACTTCCAGTGACTTCTGAGTCATGTTTGTTTTTCGTACTCTTGATGGACCAATACAATTTCTGAATATTTTAATTTAAATTTTATGTATCACTTACAAACCAAGTTTATAATGAAGCTTTTGGCATTTGTTGATATAAAGACTCACGAAATCTTTAAGTTGGTTAGTTTATGAATCAAAACAAATTTCTTCTAGCCAAGAAGCTGATGGCAGCAGTAAGCTCCCCAAAATCTCCTGAACCAGAAAGTCTTGGAAAGGAGGAGTTGAAGCCAAAAAGATCCAAAAGGAAGCTGTATTCAACTGACATTTCCTGCCCTCTAGATATATCTGTTTCTTGGGTGAGCAATTATACATTACTATTCTGTCCAATGTAATGCATTGCTGTAGTCTTGTCTCAACATAAACTACTCAGGAGTCCAACAAACTTGAAGATTTCACCTATTTGCAGGAGGAGGTTGAAAGTGCTGAGCTATTTCTTTGTTTGACCTAGTCATTCTTGTTGGTCTTCCTGCAGTTTTATTTTATTTTCTCTTTGAAGATCTCTGTATTTGGCTGCTGGCTTACAGCAGCCTATGTAGGGAATGTAGCAATCATGGAGACGTCTTCCAATTTGGAATCACAGTTACTTACAGTGTGTTGGGTTGGGATTTCTCTACTACAGCTATGCTTTTCTAAAGCACAACTTAAACAGCTCTTTAGGTATGCTGAAACTGCGTTGTGCTGCCTAAGCCAACTTGTCAAGGATGTGAAGTGCCAGCACTTGATGCACCATTTCAGAAAGCAATTTTGTGACTCTGCCAGCAGCTATGGTGCTGAGAGTTCTTGCTCTGTTGGAACCGCATCCTTTAATTATGTTAGAGTCCTTTTTCTGTTCAAGATAGTGTTCATTTGCCCACACTGTAACATCCCACTGAATTTTCTGTTGATTTGATGGATGAGGGGGGCAGAAACCAAAATGGGTTTTGTTAGAGCATGAAGGAAATGAGACAATTTTTTCTCTCACTGTACTTCTGAGAGCATGGAACTGAACAGAGAAGTGAATTGCTGGGCAAGTCATAGCTACAGGGATTTAGGCTAGAAATGTTTTCTGAACACCCCATGTTTCACAAAACGTGCATTAGAATGCTCATTGGAAAATAAGCATTTTAAAGTGAATGCTGCCTTCAGGTTTTCTTTGGGTGTGGGTATTTTTTAAAATAAACAGCATTTTGTACATTTGTCTTAGTTGTTCCTTCTGATTAAGCTGCATTAAAACAATCTCTGTATCCTATAGAATCTCTGTATCCTATAGTCTCTCTGTATCCTCTAGAATTCTGATTAAAAGATAATAAGCAAATGCCATTCTGAAATCCATTTAGGGGAAGAAATATGTTTGCATGGGTCATTGTCAGTCTTGTGTAAAAAGATGAGTAACTTTTGAAATATTTTCTTCAGGTTTCTGTGGAACAGAACAAGAAGGAAAGCGACCATGTAATCATCAAGTGATGACTACGATCCAAAAAACGCTAAATAACCTTGAAGAAGCATGTTTGTTCCACTTAGTCAGGACTTAGTTCAATTATATTGTTATTGTTATAACTGGTTGTTATTGAACGTTAACAGTTGCTTAGTTGTGCTCTTAGGTTTGTATACAGTATAGTATATATAGGTGTATAGTGTCTTTCTGATGTTTCAAACTGACTCTTGAAGTTGAAATAAATACCAGTTTTCTTGAATTATGTGTTTGGTGGTTTGTTTGTTGGTG